ATTTTATGTATATATGTATATATATACATACTCCCAATAATCTTATCACATATTTATCGATAATTCTCTCAGTTATTTAGAAATTTTTTTATTCCTTTACGTTCCCCCAGTGGAAGGAACATAGGGCTTCAAGCTAGGGCTTTGAAGTTTCAGTATCAGTGGTATTTTTTTTTACGGGATGGAGTTGCTGTTGGCTTCATGTGCCCAACCTTCCCTTTTTACCAGCCTTAATACTGGCTCAGCGAGGTTTAGGTGTGTGTCTGCGACCGGGGATCGAACCCCGGACCATACACGTAGTTGGCGAGCATTCTACCGCTGTTCTTCCGACGCACATTAAATTTAGTCTTTAGTTATGTCTTCCTTTACAGCACTTCGTCCGAACTACAGACCAGTTCTGCAGTGTGGATGACACATAGTCACTGAGTACAGAACTGTCATCCTCGACATTATTTTAAACTGTTTCTGTAGGTTCCCTAGTCGGTGATAGTGTTTTCCTTCCAAATCAAAAGGTGCTTCTATAAGTCTTCCTGGTCCCAGGACCTTGTAACCAGAAGGTCCTGGGTTCGAACCCTTGCAGTTTGGTGGGTGCATACTGATGAAGAGTACCAAAACTACGACGAAACAGCTATCCAGTACTTCCCCGTGGTTTCCAATGGTTCTCTAACCAATGTCATTCATGATAAAATCCAATAATAACTTTATTCTAAGAATAATAATAATTATACAGAGTGGAATCTTCAGCACTCGTTTATACATATTGCAACAATTTAGCTCCTTTCACAAATAAATGTAATTACATAAAATTTAAAATAGTAATAATAAAAGTATTAATAATGGAACCAACACTATAAATAAAATGTTGGCAGAAACATAACGAAGTATAAGTAGATAATATCACAGATAATACACGTAATGGTAATGATAATCTTTGCTTATACTCACTTTGTAGTTCAGTCACCTGTTTAAAAAGTTCATAAGTTCTTTTCTGACATCTGACTTGCTCTTCACACACACACACAACTACGTGTGCTAAATATAGTGGTATGGTAGAATTTTTATATTTAGTAGCTGTGTGAGCGTAAATTAATTATGAAGTTCCTTCTGGTTTTACCTGCCGAAGATATATACAAGGCAAACAGTTGAAAATCACGAAGGAGATATTCGGTATCAGACAAGATGACTTTAGCCAAATGATTGCTTGCAAGAATTAAAATGCCTATCGGTAAACCGCTTACCCAACTTGCAGCCTTCAGTGTTCTACGTAATACGACATAGTCTGTTTTGAGAAGTCTAGGGAAGAAAAAGTGGGGGTGAACAATAAAGAAGGTGAATGGGCAGAATACATGAATCGATTAACTGTAAGAGAAGAGATGAGGTTGAGTTATGATGCCAGCAGAAATTCTCAACTTCTTTATGCAATAAGTTAAAGGACCATTCTTCTAAGAAATCAACAGGATATGAGACGATGACCAATAGAGATTGGAAGAGAAACTGATGCCTAGCTTAGGGATACTCACTTTACTCCCTATGATCACGGTGCAGTTAATATTACAGGAATCATCGGACTGAATCAATCAGTTGACGCACGGAAGTCTTGTTCGTATCCGAAACTAAAATCACCATGGTCCCCCAATACTGTATGACATTACACGGACTCCTAGAAGAAGTAAAAGATTCCACAATTGGGGAAAATAGTTTTAACAGTTGGCATAAGTGACTGCTGAGTAATTTTCAAACCTTAAGTCCTATTGAGACACACACAAGAACCAATCGCCTGATTTACTTTACCCCAGTTCTTGATGATAAAACGTTCACAGTACAAAAAAAATGAAAGCTCAGAGAACTAAGAAGAAAAAATACTTTCAGTCTGAGTAACTGGATAGTATCGAGATCTAACACCGCACACACACACTCTCTCTCTCTCTCGTTTCTGTTACCATTGTACACTAATTAATTAACTGACCTATCCGACAAGGGGATGATTCTCTCTATAATCCTTCGAAGTGAGGACAGGAGTAAGACAAGCTGGCTGCCTACTATCTCCAATGATTTTCCTGATTGCAGTAAATTAGATAATGCGGCAGACAGCGGGGAATGAGGAAACAGACATAAAATGGACTCACACAAAAATCTTGGAGGATCTGGACTTCGTCGATGATATATGTCTGGTTTCCCACAAACTGTAAGATATGCAAGCGAAAAGCAACAAGTTGTCAGAAGAAGCATCAAAGATAGGACTTCAGGTGAACATAGAGAAGACAGAGGTGATGAAGATTCCTGGGCAACACCACCAACAGCAACAACAACAACAGACAATAATCAGCATATATGGGAGGAAGCTGAAAGAAACAACCTCTTTTACCTACCTGGGAAGCATCGTACCAACTATAGGAGGACGGAACTGACGAGGATATCAAAGCAAGGATCGGGAAAGCAAGACAAGCTTTCACTACTCTCAAGTCTGTATGGAGGTCAACAGCACTCAGCATAAAAAATAACATCCGGATTTTCAACTCCAATGTGAAGTCAGTCAGTGCTACCTACTATACGGATCAGAGACTTGGCCAGCGCATCATAAAGAGCATCTCAAACAAAATACAGACTTTCATTAACAGCTGTCTTCGCTCAATACTCAAGATCAGATGACCAGAAAAGATCAGCAACAGAGATCTCTGGCAATGAGCGAACCAACCAGGAACCGATTGTGAAACAAGAAGGTGTGCAGGAAGAAATGGAGATGGATTGGTGGCCATACTCTGAGGAAACCATCAAGTGAAGTCACACTAGACAAGCCATTGCTCGAGTGGAACCCGAAAGGGAAGCGGCGAGTTGGTCGTCAGCGTGAGGGTGACTTGGAGGAGGTCATGTGAAGAGGAGATGAAAACGTGTGGGCAGACTTGGAACCAGGTGAAGACTCTAGCAGAGAACCGAACGCAATGGATACGTGTGGCTGAAGCCCTATGTTCCTCTAGGAATTAAAGGAAACAATAATATAATAATAATAATAATAAAATATTAGAGTGAGAAAGTTTCAAATCCTTTTATATTGGTTTTATTTACACACTCTGTCTCTTGTAGTATATTTATGAATATTGATTTATTTCTTCTCATTGTTGTACACAGGTTATTGCTTATTCCTCGCTTATGTTAGAATTGGCTGGTATTAACGATGATTACTTACAATACTGTGTCTTTGCTATCGGTGTGCTGAACGTTATTGTCACGGTTATTTCTCTACCACTATTGGAACGTGCTGGACGTCGAACCCTACTACTATGGCCAACAGTATCACTGGCCTTGTCGTTATTACTACTTACAATCTTTGTCAATTTAGCAGTTACAGGTCCTGAAGAATACAGAACTGCTATGGGAATTATATCCTGTATTTTGATCTTGGTATATATCTGCAGTTTTGCACTTGGTCTGGGTCCAGTTCCTGCACTTATTGTATCAGAAATATTTAGACAAGGTCCTAGAGCAGCTGCTTATTCGCTTAGCCAGTCTATTCAATGGTTATCGAATTTGATTGTTCTGTGCAGTTATACTGTTATACAAGTTAGTCAGTTTTATATTCGTATGACTTCAGTTTTTGTGTATGTGCATGTGTTGTGCTGTGTTGTTTCTTTCCACCCCCGCCCCCATGTAGGAATCACCTATATTCCTGACTAGTCTCTTCTTGAATGAATCAATTAATTACACATCTTTCCTAGGTAGATTCTATTTTTTTGAATGCCTTTAATTCCCCCCCCCCCAGTGGAACATAGGGCTTCAAGCTAGAGCTTCGAAGTTTCGGTCTCCGGAATAAAATCTCATGTGACAAGTTACTAGTAAATTGTAACATAATAAATAGATGCTTTTTACGTGCAGTCGTAGTCTCAGGTTTTCACTCCAATGTTTCTCCAAATGTTTCTTTGTGAAACTAATCGGATAGCCCATCTCCGTCAAGGAATCATGAATCTATATTCAAATTCCTTTTGTAAGAAGTCATCCGTACATATCTTTCTTGCTCTGCTCGTAAGACATTTAACAGCATTCATATTATATTTAATGGGCACGTAACTGAGGAAGTGTTTGTATTGCCCTGTGAATGTACTTTTTCTATACACGCTTCTCCCAAGTGACCCATCTTCTCGCCTACTTAGCAAGACATTCAGGAAATGTAGTTTATTCTCCTGCTCCTCTTCACAAGTAAAGGTAAGCGAAGGGTGGATGTTGTTGAATTTCGGCAACAATTCATCTATGTTAACATTCCCATCAGCTAAGATAAATGTATCATCGACATATCGGTAATACATACCAAACTCATTGATGATGTCTTTCAGTTTACCCTTTTTAAGTTTAGCGAGAAAGAAGTCAGCTAATATTGGGCCTAATGGTGAACCCATAGCTATTCCATCTACTTGTCGGTAGTATGAATTGTTGAAGACAAAGTGAACATACATTGTGCATTTAAGAAGTAATTCTTTGAAGCTACACAAGGGGATTACTAAGTCTAATTGCGTTTCGGTGATTTCTTGGCACATGTAATCTACTGTTTCCATAAGCGGTACATTAGTGAATAGTGATGATACATTCATGGATAACATGCGTTTATACCTCACATAAGTCTCGAATATCTTAGGAATAAAGTCGAAGACATCACTAATTCTATGTTGCACGATTTCTATGTGCAAAGTACCCCGAATCTTCACTAACCACTTCGCTGTTCCGTGAAACAGACAGAGTTATACATATCTAAAACAGGGCGAAGAGGAAGACCTGGTTTGTGCACTTTGGGTGGACCGTAAAGACGTTGGTTTCATGGACTCATACGTGGCTGGTGACAATACTCCTATTTGGTTCAGTTTTTTGAGGGAGTCGGTCATTAGTTTCTCCGCTCTTACATTGAGGTCTTTGGAAACACCAAGAGATTGGAATTTAGTTTAATCAATAATATTCATTATCATCATTTTTTCACTGGGTTCTTTTTATCTTTTTTTTCTCTCTTTCTATAAATCTAGAAAAAAATTGGGGGATATTCATTTCTACCATTTCTTGTCATCGTCATCATATGCTGGATATTCTTCTTCTTATTTATGCCTGAAACTAAAAATCGTACATTCGATGAAGTTGCTCGTGATCTAGCCTTTGGTAATATTGTCGCCTTCAAGCGTACTACCGCATTGGAGGATCGTAATCTTACCATCTTCACAAAACAAGGCAATAATGCATCGAATGCTGATGGACCAGCTTCCGAATCTCTTCTATATTCAAGAAATACCAATGATAAGGGTACATATGCGTAAAGCAAAACATTTTTTTTCGCAACATCATTGCTTATCTCTCTTATGATGATTATAGGGAATTACTATGCGAATCTCTCCCCTAAGAAGATATATACATATATATATATATCTATATCCTTATGTGTTTGTGTATAATTTTATGCTAGTATGTATGGATGTGTGACAGCTGCGTGCGTGCAATCTTTCTCTTGGATTTTGCTTGTATTCACATGTATATGCAGTACGCTTGTGTGTCTGTGCGCTTATCCTTACTGATTAGTATTCGCGTATATTTCGTCAGGAGGTTTCTTTCACCTTTCGTATGGTGTATTGTATAATCACACCACCTGCGTCGTATATATAAACACTTTTTTGTTTGTTTTGTTTTACACCAAACTTAACACTGTCTTATTATTATGAACACTTTTCGCTTAACTGTTGTATTTCGCTTCAGTAAATCGCTGTTGTGTTTTTTTCGCCAATCCATGCCTACAATAACAGTGATACTTATTTTCCATTGTAATTCTATACAACAGGAGTTTCAAGATCAAAGGACGTTTTACCTAACCCTGAATAATAACGGGGATATTATAGGGTATTAAACATTTTGTTACTTGAGAAGAGAATGTGAACATAATCGCCGAGTCAATTTGAATTAGTAGTTGATGATGGGAACTTGATATCTCCACATTAAAATAATACACCCTTCAACGTCACCACCACCCCCGCCTCCGTCTGCCTACTTTCCTCTTCTCACTTCTTCTCTTCATGTCTGTGCAATCTTTATACCACTTTACGTTGTTTTGATTTTATCCTATCCGGTTTAGTTTTAAAAAACAACATGCAATTATTAAAGAATATTTCGTCTCATTCTTTCTTATATTTGATTGTTATTAAAAAACCTCCTGTGATGACGTTTCTACTTGCGTAAAAAACAGCATGTTTTTAACCCCCTCCCCACTTCCCTCAAATGCAAACAATTATAACAGTTCAGCAGTTAATTAATTGATTTGATTTTTTGTTGTTGTTGTTCTATCTCTTCTAATCCGTCGCTATATATGTGCAACAAATTTTGATTTTTTTGTTTGGTTTTAATTTACCCACAAACTCCCACCCACCCCTAAACACACACAAATATATATATGCTTATGTCATTAATGCCAGATTCGTAAAGTATAATTTTTCATCATATATAATAATTGTATTCTGTTGAATTCATGTTGTCAGTCTTTACAGTTTTTTAACAACTGGGATCTCTAGGATGTGAAGATCAGGCGATCTAAGAGAAACATATATATATATATATACGTCCGCAAACCAAGTTCACTTTTATTATTATTGTTCCCTTGTGTTCCTAGTGGAACATAGGGCTTCAACTGCACGCCTCCACTTGCTTCTGTCTTCTGCTGTACTTTTCACCTGCGTCCATCTTAGTCCATACTGTTTCAGTTCCTCTTCACACGATCTCCTCCATGTCACCCTTGGACGTCTCACTCGCCACTTTCGGCTTCCACTCGACGGCCTGACGTGCGATGTCACCCAGCGGCCTGCTCAGCGAGTGTCCAATCCATCTCCACTTTCTCCTGCATATTTGTTGGGCGATTGGTTCTTGTTGGTGATTCTTTCCGGCCATCTGATCTTCAGTATATAGCGAAGACAGTTATTGATAAAGGTCTGCAACAGGCTGTTGGAAATATTCTTTGTGACACACTGGCCAAGTTTCTGATCCGTATAGAAGAACTGACTGACTTGACGTTTCTATTGAAAATCCGAATTTTGTTGTTGATGCAGGCTGAGTGACGAAGATTTCCAGATTGGTTTCAGGTTGATGAATGTGTTTCTCGCCTTCCCGATTCTCGATTTGACATCGTCGTCCGTCCGTTCCTCCTGTAGTTGAGACAATGCTCCCGAAATAAGTGAATGAAGTAACCTCTTTCAAATACCTCCCGTTGATGGTGATTGGCGTTGAATGTTGCTGTTGTTGTTGTTGGTTGGTTATTTTCATAACCTCCGTCTTGTCTATGTTCATCTGGAGTCCTGTCTTTTCTGGCTGCTTCTTCGACCAGTTTGTCGGTGGAATCAGGATAATGCGCATTTCGTCCTATTTGGGACTCACCAGTCAGCTAGTGGATGTACCTGCATTCCCCACCGAGGCTCGAAACCAGTGCCTGCCCATAGCTTCAAACTTCAAAGCGCTATCCACTCGACCACTTGGGCAACGAGAGCCACTGTCTCTTGTGCAACGAGTCATAGTAATTATTCAATTGAATTTTAGATTTTCCCGTCACTTTTAATAGTTTGAAAAAATAATTTGGGCATTGGGTATTTGTGTGATATTATAATAGAGGTTTTTTGTATTTCCCAGTGTGAATGAAAAACAAAACGATATCGTTGTTGCTTTTACTCACGTTTCGCTATTCATTACTGCTGGTGCTAATAGCTTTATCAAAGTAGTAGTATTATTAAACCAGAATTTACGAAATCCACTCAGCTTGCATTATATAACAACATAATCATCGTACCTCAGCATGGAGTCATTTTTGCGTTATTGTCAATTTGGCCAATTGGTAAAGATAACAAAACCACGTGTAGACTGTTGGATTCGATAAGCGTAAAAAATTGTACAAAAACAGCATGTGTGTTTACATAATGAAATCGCTTATCACATTCGTGTTGATTTTGTTATTTCATGGGCGTCGCAGGTGTTGTAACCAGGTCAAATTCTGTTTTACTCCATCATTCTTATTCAGCTCAGACAATTTGGATTCTGTTTGATACGAAGTGCTTCCAATATATTAGATATTCTTTGTGATTTCTGAAATAGCTCCGGATTATTTCAATATTGTCAAAATCAATTTTGTGACCTGATTCCATAGCTTAGAGTGTAGATGACATATGGCTGATGATTTTTTCAAGCTTTTCTAGTTCACTAACTGGATTTCTCGGTGGTTGAACAGACACTCACTCTACGGCGTTCATTTCTTCTGATTTCTCTCTGATGAGGTTCGCCCGAAGTATATCGCATCACATCGCAAGAGTTTTGTTTTTGTAGACACAATTAGATTGAGAATCCTAAGGGATTTTGTCCTTTACACTGACAACGTTGCTCTCTAGCGTGTGCGTGTGTCTGGTGTTTTGAAGAATACTGGGATATTGTATTTGTTGAGGACTCCTCTTTTGATGTCACCTGACGTCTCTGCTCTGAATATAGATATATACTGAAATATCCATTTTCCCTACTCTTAACTACCCAGTCTAGAAATGGTAGTTCACTGAAGTCTGATTCTACCTGTTTCCGAAGTAACATCCAGTCCATGACAGCTTCTTGACGTCTGTAAACACCAAATAGAAACAAAAACAACAACAGTTAGAATTCATGCGCTGGCCATTGGATTGGGTCCCAGTGGCTCAATGGTCTACGAGCTCTCTTGCCTTGCAACCAGAATGTCGTGGGTTCGAATCCCGGTGGTGCGTACTGATGAAGAGTCCCAAACTAGGACGAAACAGCTGTCCAGTACTTCCTGGTGGTTTTCCAGTGGTTCTCTAACTGATGTCAGCTCATGGTGAAATTCTCCATGTAATAAATTTTCTCTTATAATGAATGTTTTTTATATTTCCCAGTGTGGATGAAAAACAAAACGATGTTGTTGTTTTTAGCGACGTTCCGCTATTTAATGTTAATATCTGTATTAAACCAGAATTTACAAAATCCACTCAGCTTATATATAACAACTTAATCATCGTTCCTCAGTATGGGGTAATATTTGTGTTGACAATGAACGTCTAATATCATCAGAAGCACTTCATATTGGATGGAATCCAAATTGTCTAAGCTGAATAGGAATGAAGGACTAAAACAAAATTTGACCTGGTTACAACACCCCACCCATCTCTCCCATGAAATGACAAAATCAACACGAATGTGACTGATAAGCAATTTTATTATGTAAACACACACGGTGCTTTTGTATAATTTTATACGCTTATCAAATCCAACAATCTACCTATGGTTTTGTTATCTTAATCATTTGGCCAACTTCATAATGTAAAAATGACCCCATGCTGAGGAACGATGATTAAGTTGTTATATATAAGCTGAGTGGATTTTGTAAATTCTGGTTTAATACAGATATTAACATTAAATAACGGAAGGTCACTAAAAACAATATCGTTTTGTTTTTCATCCACAAAAAAACCTTCATTATAAGAGAAAATTTATTGCATGGAGAATTTCACCATGAGCTGACATCAGTTAGAGAACCACTGGAAAACCTGGGAGTACTGGACGGCTGTTTCGTCCTAGTTTGGGACTCTTCATCAGTACGCACCCGCCGGGATTCGAACCCACGACATTCTGGTTGCAAGGCAAGAGGGCTCATAGACCATTGAGCCACTGGGACCCAATCCAATGCTCCTTGAGTTCTAACTTCTGCCAATTCACGACATAACGTGACCACCAGCCAATGTCTTCTTCGATGAGTTATCGCCTCATCTTCAACCTGCTGTACCCTACTGGTCATGGCTTCCAATGTCTCAAATTTAATTGAGATTACAACCAATGGATATTAAGGAGATCGTAAATCTTTCGGTTGATTTTACAACTTCTAAATCACATTGTGATTGTTTGTCACTTATTCGATTTCTTTCAATGTTGTTACACAGAAGGATTCACTTTTTCTTTGATGATGATCGCTTAATAAGTAACACACTACCTATTTCTGATCGGATACTAACTAGCGTAGTGTGTCTAGTCCTTTGTTTACTGCAGACTGAATTCTACCAGTCAAGTATGCAAGCAGTGTGGTCATCATGCCACTAGGTGGCTCACCATCACGGTGCACTAAGGATTGTTGTTATTAGATGGATAGAGGCGATCCCCAGGAAGCTATCTAGCTCAGTGGTAACGTCTCTGACTGCAGCACTGAGTGACGCGGGTTTGAATCTCAGAAGGGATATGAGTTTCTTCAAGATTGTAGATGTGCTTTGCTGACTGATGAGTGCCAACTAGCACGAACCCTAGGTCGAACAAGGCTTCCTGTGACCAATTGCCTCCAACCATCTATTAACAACACATACTGTGATTTGTGTGTGAGATTAGCTACCCTTCCTCGTAACTGTTGCTGATATTTCAAAAAGAACTTTAAGTCCAATATTCCATTAAGAAGGCAAGGAATGCGCAAAAAAGTACTACAACGTGTCCTAGAGATTTAGGTAGAAATATAGACGTGGATTGATTCAGAATAGGCAAACGTGCTCATCACACATTATTTAAATTATGTACAAAAGAGCCTCAGTAAGGTGCCTCTTCAGTAGAATCCAACGAATATGCATTGTAGACACACTTGATGAGGACGAAAGAAAGTTGAGACAAATTCTGGTTGATAACAATTATCTAGATAAGTTCATCAGGAGTTATAAAGTAGTTAGTACACCAGGACCCACTCTCCCACTCGCCCCTACGAAATACATGTACATCAAGCTACCCTAGATACGGGATCATAGCAGCTTGATAACTCGAAAAAGATTGAACGAAATTGTCAAAAAGACTTTTTATGCAGCTAAGATCAGAATGATTGA